GCCGGGGGAAGGGGTGGAGGTATGCAGGGGCCTCGCTTCACTCTGCAAAGCATGATGGGGTCTCCTTGAAAGGGGCAGCCCCCTGGCATCGGGCAGGGTGGTAGTTGGTTTTAATGATTTCAGAGCAGAGATCAGGTGTAGCCCAGAGGGTAGGTTCTTGCACAGAGGGCCCAAGGCAGTGGCCCATCGTGGCTGGAGAGTGTGGAGAGTGGAGGGCAGTCTGTGGCTTTTATTCAGAGGACTCACTGCCTGGGATGGTCTGGACATGACTGGATCCAGTGAGCCAAGTAGGCTGCCCCGCACCCACATCTTGACATCGCTCTTCTTGTCTCCCATCAAGAGTCTGAGTGGATTGTGACCTTTTTGGTTATACAGAACTATTCTGTAGGAAAATGCTATGCTTAGGGGCTTTGGGGTTGTGTGAAGGTTGGGACACTGTGCTTACCTCCTGGAATTTTCATTGAGAACCCAGGGAGAGAAGAGGATAATGTACTAAGTAAATAGAAGAGAGAGATTTGCCTGGCGGTCCAGTGGTTAAGACTTCAAGCTGCCAATGCAGGGGGTGCGGCTTTGATCCCTGGTCAGGGAACCGGGATTTTTACAAGCTGCACACACAGAGAAAAAATAGATAGATACGATTATTATTACTACTGGCGTTGCTGTTGAGTGTTGAGGTGATCTGCATAATTGAGAGAGCTCACTGTTGTCCATGGGAGTCTGGTGTCCCTCTCTGCCTGTGCTGGGGTTCATTGCCCACTTATATCTGTCACCTCTGTCCTTATAGACTGACCCACCTGCCCTGCTTGAGATGGCACGTCCTGGGACTCTGAGAGGACCTGTCACTTTGCCGAATGTTTTACATCCGGATTTTCTCATGTAAATCTTCACAATAGACCTTTGAGGGAAATCAAACCCATTTTACAGGTGGGGAAGCTGAGGCTGACAGGTTACATCTGTGTTCACTGCTGAGGGAGGGTGATGGTGAGGGGCTTGGAGGCCAGTTCTCTGTGTCCCGAGAGTTGGAGCTCTTCCTCCGAGCTAAACTACGTCTTGGGTGTGGTTGGTGTAACTGCTGGAAACCTTCTGGGGCTTGTGTTTTTGTTGGTGGTGTTGTTCCAAGCACTTTCACATATAGTTATTTTGACTCCAGCTTCTCTAAAACAATACCATTTTCTGGTAAGATTGAAGCTGAGCTAAGGGAGATTTCCCCAAGAGCCTTGATCTTACATGTCAGAACAGGAACCAGAGCCAAGATCTTTGAGCCTCGGACACTTAGCGAACACTTGCCGTGCACCATGTCTCGCTGATACCCAGCGGCTGTTTGTGGGCCCACCTGATGCTCTTCTGCTCTTTCTGTAAGTCTGACTGAGCCTCAGAGCAGGGGCAGAATGAACGCTCATGAAGTGAAAGAGTCTCGGAGGTGGACGAAGACTTTCATTCCAGCTTCGGGTCCTCCCCTGTGGCCGGAGTGCTGATGACTCTCCCTCTCGCCGCTGGGTCCCATTGCTGAAACCCCAGGTGTTCTTCCCTCCTGGAGAATTTCTATCTTGCGGTTTTGTGGTTAAGAGAAAACGACGCTATCTATGAAAGGCCCTGGTGGGGGTCCATGGGGCTGGGCTGGCTGGGCTGGCTGGGCTGGGCTGGCTGGGCTGGCCAGCCCGCTGTGGTTTGTCTGGGAAAGTAACCCCTGGGTGGTTCTACAACTGTGACCAACTTTCCAAAAAGTNTAGCGACCTCATGGACTGCAGCCTACCAGGCCCCTCCGTCCATGGGATTTTCCAGGCAAGAGTTCTGGACTGGGGTGCCATTGCCTTCTCTGAGTGAGGATCTCTGGCAGCCTTTAAAAAAAGAACTGCTCAGTCCGCTTCAGGGGAACTCACCCTGATTTTTGAGACTCTGCTGAGCCATCGCTTGCCTAACTGACGTTTGTTTTTGATTCTCATTTTAGTAAATATGAGTGCCTGTCGGGGTTACAGAATATAATGTGTATTCAGTTGTTCATTCATTCAACAAAGGTTTTACCATAGCAGACCGCGTGCCAGGTGCTATGCTGGCTCCTGGGGACATAGTGGTGATCAGGTGATCAAGAACATAGACCAGGCACCTGGCCTGAGGGATTTTCCCATCTAAAGAAGGAAGCAGACAGGCCAAACACTAAATGTGTGATCTGGTAGAGGATAAGGGCTGGGGCTGTGCCCTGTTGTAGGAGAAGGGCTGGGGCTGTGAGGAGGAGGGCTGAAGGGCTTGGGGGAGTCTTTCTGGCGGGATGGATATCTAAGCTGAGTTGTGCAGGCTGAGGGGTCACTGGGAAGAGCCTTCCTGGCAAAGGGACAAGGGCCGAGGGTCTGCAGGCTGAAAAGGGCTGGACTTGGTGATGGGGCTGAATGAGAGAAGCCCCCAGATCCTGGCTCATTGCCAAGGCCAGGTTGGCTGATCTTGATGTTGCCCTGTGTTGGCTGAAGTCTTAGCACAATGAACAGGTTATTCATCAGCTCCCAGGGGTGTGGCCCTTGAAGCATTCAGGCTGGGGACGGATAGACCTCTTTGCTGCTGATGTCAGTGTCAGCAGCCCGACCTCGTTGCTTCAGGCGGAAGAGAATGGTTTTGACTTTGCACAGTTAATTGATTTATTGCCCTGTCTTTGGTCAGCAATTTGACGCTGCGGTTTGAGAGCAGTTTGGAGTGGAGGGCAGGCTGTGAGAAACCGTTTAATGTGGGGATGAGGCCCCTGTATTTCCTTCCCTCCTTTCTTTCTCAGGCATCTTTGAGCACATGTTGTGTGCCAGGTGCAGTAGGAGGCTTGTGGGGACAGTCCAGTGAGGTGGGCATAGTTCCTTCCCTGATGTATAATAATGGGGGACTAACCTAGTTTTGGGGGGGTAGTTTCTGTACTATAGTTCAATCCTCCCAGCCGACTGTGAGCTGGAATCATCCTTGCTGTTGTACAGATGAGAGAACCAAGATTCAGGAAAATTAATGAGCTTCCCTAAGGTCACACAGTTAAATGACAGAAACTAGATCTGAATCAGATTCTTTTTTTTTAATTATGAAAGTATAATAACACATTTACATAACATTAATTTATCAAAGTCTGATAACACATTTATGTTACAAGACATCGCACAATACAGAACAAAGTTACGTGTAGTTCTACTATATATTACAGTTCTTTTTTTAAGTGGATAAATTAAGATTTTCAGTTGGAGTTCCAGTATTGAATCCAGATTCTGTTCAACTCTGAAATCTGTGCTGTGTTCACTGCCCCGGGAGCTCACATCTGTAGGGGGAGACCAGGTTAGCAGCCTGAACATGAGGCCCCTGATAGCGGCTCCCAGAGAAGTGTGGACAGGGCACTATGGAGGGGAGAAGGGGGAAGATTCCAATTAGCCCAGGGGGTCTTGACCAGAAGACAGAAGGACTTCCAGCCACTACAGACATTTGAGCAGAGGCCCAGGAGTACAGACATACAGAAAGTATTAACATTTGAGGAACAGCTCCTAGGTGAGTGCTGACCTGGAGGACTGGGTGGGTCAGTGGTAGGGTGGAATGGAGATGAGGCTGGAAAAGAAAGCTGAGGTCCTGAATTTGGAATGGCTTCTGGTCACACTTGGAGAAGGGCTCCCCAGGTGGTGCTAGTGAAAAGAACCCGCCTGCCAATGCAGGAGACAAAGGAAACGTGAATTCGATCCCTGGGTTGGGAAGATCCCTTGGAGGAGGGCACAGCCCTCCATTCCGGTATTCTTGCCTGGAGAATCCCTTGGACAGAGGAGCCTGGTGGGCTAGGGTCCATAGGGTCTCAAAGAGTTGGATACCCTGAGATATTTACAGTTGAAAGAACAAGAATGAATTAACAACAGCAAAAACTCTCGAGGGGGCAGCAGGTACTGGGAAGTGGCTCCCAAGGGCAGGGTTCCTTCATGCAAGACTTTGAAGGTAGTGCTTGTCTTGAGGGGAAGCTCCCAAGCCGCCATCTCGGCAGCTCTTGTGGGGTCCCCGAGTCGCTGAGACTCAGTGGAGCCTGCCCTTTTTGGGTTCTCGCTCATTTCCCTCTGTTGGAGTCCACTCCCTCTTCTTCAGTCCCGGCTGCTCTCTGCCCTGAAGGTCTTGCCGCTCCGCATTCCTCAGCCCAGTGTGGGGCGGTCGCCCAGCGTTTGTCAAACAGAATACCAGTATTTACTCTTATATTATTTGAAGCTTTAGCGTTTTGAGACTCTTGAAACCCATGGACAGGCTTTGCCAGGAAAATGCATAGATTCATGTGTCTGAAGTTTGCATGCATTTCAGGGAGCGGGTCTTGAAAGCCTTTTGGTCCCAGTCAGGGACCTTGGCCAATGGAGCCACAGCCCACCGGCCTGGCCGGCCCTCAGGCTGTGTATGCTGTGGGCTGGGCACTCATACTGAGGCTTCATTTCTTCTCAGCCTCCCTGAGAGGGAGGTTCTATTATTACCCCCATTTTCTGGAGCAGGAAACTGAGACTTTCCTGGGGGGCGGGCTGTTCTGTAGCATGTCCCAGGTCACAGGGCTCGGGTGTGTCTGAGCCCTCGGGTCCTAGCCCCGGTAATCTGATTCTTGGCTGGAAGCCTCCTAAGTGGGAGGTTACTCATCCTCCCCAAGCCCCTGCATTTTTCACATCATCCGTTCGCTGACTCCCACTACCCCTTCCCCCAAGCAGGAAGCCCTTCTTCCGTGTGACCCTGTTCTCTGTTCTACGTTCTGAAGAGTGTGGTCCTTGGTGGGAGGTGGGGAAGGTGGTGTGGCAGCCAGCCTTGGGTGGGACAGAGGGTGGGGTGTGGTTCTCTAGGTTTCCCTGCTGGCTCTCCCAGACCCTCCTCCTCTCCTCCTGCCTCCTCGGTTTCCTGCTTCTCCCCCTTTGAACGGCAGCAGAGGGGGCACCTGGCAAGCCCCTGTCCTCATCTCATCCCTCGTGTGTGCCAGAGCTCCCCTTATCACGTCCACGTGCCCCGAGTGAACCTGCTTTTCTGTCCTGGTCTCCCCGCAGGCGAAGCTGCTCCGGTACATCTGCAAGCAGTGTCAGTGCAAGCTGAGCGTGGCCCCAGGCGAGAGGACCTCGGAGCTCGACAGCTACCCTCGCTTCAGCGACTGGCTGTACACCTTCAACGTGAGGCCGGAGGTGGTGCAGGTACGGGGCTATGCCGTGGGGACTGGGGTCTTCGGGTGGGATGTGGGCAGGGAGTCGAGCGAAGGGACCACACACAAGCCTGAGGACCGGCTCCACAGCGGCTATGACTGATGGGGCAGGAATGGGATGTGGAGGGGACGGCGGCAGCAGGAGGGACCCAGGGCACACGTGGCTGTAGCCTGCGTCCTGAGTGTCATCACTCCATGAGCCAGACAGCCTGACCCCACCACTCACAGGCTCATCGTGAGGACAACAGCCAGCGTTTCTGGAAACACGGGCTGTGCAACCGGCACTGTGTTGAATACTGTGTATAAATAATCTCACTTCACACCCAAAAAGCCTTCTGAAGGAGTTACTATCATGATTGCCGTTTTATACTTGAGAAAATGAAAACATCATTTTATACTTGAACAAATTAAAGCGTGGATGGGTCAAATAGCTCGTTTAAAATCATACAGCTGATAAATGATTGTTTTGGAATTTAGAAGCAAGGATCTGAGTTTAGTTTTCTCCTGTAACTCCAGTAAGAATACTTTTCCTTCCTTTGTTCTCTTTTCCCAGCCATCCAACCTACCCACCCACCTACCCACTAAACTAATCAACCAGTATGCAAGGAGAAGGTCAGAGGTCAGGGGCAGCTCTCATGGGGTATCAATAAATCAGTGCTTGACAGGTGTGGTTCACCCAGACAGGTCTTTTAAATCCCTCATTTCTCTTCTAAAATTAAAGACACACTTTGCTATTGTTGCAAAAGTAATACGAATTCATTTTATTTAGACACTTTGGAAAACAGAAGAAGGGGGAAAAATCAAATATATATTACTACCACTCAGAGAAAAATCTGTGATCATTAAGATTTTGATAGTTCCTTCCAGCCTTTTTTTTTTTACCCTAATACTTAAGTCTTTGAAAAAAAAAAATCTCTAGATGGGTTAGACCTGTGCTGTCTAGTAAGGTAGCTAATATTATGTTCTTGGAATGTGGCAAGTCCACACTGAAAAGTGTTATGATTTCAAAGACATAAATTCAAAGATGTGCTGAATTCTGAAGACATGATCCAGGAAAAAGAAAATATTAATAACAATATTTAATCTGTTGAAATGCTATTTTGGTTATATGAAGCTAAATAAAATAAATAATTAAAATTTATTTCATATATATTTACTTTTTAAAGTGTGGCTACTCAAAAATTAAAATTTAAGTATGTGGCTTGCATATACTTCTCTAGGGCAACACTGATTTAATCCATCCTGAATAAACAATTTTATATTTTACTCTTATCATTGGACATGCTAACCAGCATGTTTTCCTTGTATTTTCACACTTGGTAACTGTCTCCGACCCGTTTCAGGAGCTTCATAATGTCTGAGTATATGTGCTATCGTTTACCAGGCAGAGGTTAATTCCAGTTGTTGACTATTGTTTAAGACATGGTGGTTAATATTATTTATGAAGCTGCTTGTATATTTAAGAATTTTCACTCGGAGAGGAAAATTTTCACTTGGACAGGAAGTGACTTGAACTTAAGAAGTTCCTGTTGTGGGTGGGAGAATATGGGGGTGAATGCAGGGTACCCACAAGGGCACTTCTAGCACCTTATACACTCCCAGCCCTGGCCCTGGCCCCAGTGGCCCTCATAGTTGTGACATACGTACACTTTTAAGAAGCTGGCAGATCTTTAATCCATTTTGAGTTTATTCTTGTGTGTGGTGTTAGAGTTTCTAGTTAGTGTTCTAGTTTCATTCTTTTACAGGTGGTTGACCAGTTTTCCCAGCACCACTTGTTAAAGAGGTGTTCTTTTTTCCATTGTATATTCTTGCCTCCTTTGTCGAAGATAAGGTGTCCATAGGTTCGTGGATTTATCTCTGGGCTTTCTATTCTGTTCCATTGATCTATATTTCTGTCTTTGTGCCAGTACCATACTGTCTTGATGACTGTGGCTTTGTAGTA